TACTTCCTCATGCTGGAGATTTCCGTCAACTTGAACATCGACAGATTCCAACCAGAAGCTCAATCACGAATAAACTATCATTTTTAAAAGGACTGCTTGAAAATTCCTACAAGGAACAGAAGAAAACCAGTTCCGATCAATGTAAACTGGAAACTCCGTGTGAACCACGGTTCAGTTTGACCGCTCGTTTGGCAGCCGAAAGGGTCAGCGCCAGTTACGGTAGTTGAAAAGCTTTTTTTATTTTTCAATCGGTTAATTTGTTCTTTGACGTGTACGTTTATATTTTCAACCATCGCATTTTAGAATTCAGATTTCTGGGTTGTAAATTTTTTCCTGCTTCTATTCGAATTTCATATACTGTTTATTATCAAGTTTTAGTTTACTGTAACATAGTATATTGTAATAGCCATTTGTTTGTACACCTGTGGCAACTCTTGCGACTCTTATTTCACGGACGCAGTTTCGATTTTGTATTACTCGCTCCTTGATCCAGGGGAAACACTAATAAATGAAAGGATAGGGGTCAAACTACTACAGTTTTAGTTTATGCAATCAATCCATTTTACATACTGCAGAATTGCCTCAATAAATAAACACGTTACTAAATAAGTCCACAAGCACTGTTGCCGTAGCCGGTGACCTGCAACGACCATTGCATGTTTTATCACGCCAAGAAAGTCTATTCCGTTGGCGGATGGGCCGCTAAAGCAGGCGAACAAATTATTCTGAAGAGTACAACTGTACAAAAGGTACAAGAAGAAGGTTATATGGCGCGGAAATCTCGAATCCCATAGGAACTTAAAGGTACAAGCTCACATCGTTTCCCACAAGATTTCAATCAGCTGCAAAACACCAATAACAATTAGGAAGAGACGAATCATTATCTAGCTGCGCTGGCAAACTGAATATGCTAAACTTAAATTTGAATTTACCGATTCAGGTGCAGTCTAGAGGTATTTCTTTCGAAAACTGATGACTAAACCGGCAGAAGGGAAGAATATGTTTCACTGAAGCTTCACGATTTGTGCCACTCTGTCTGTCAATAATTTTATTTGCCACCAGGCGCTATAAAACAACGAAATCATAAAAATCTGTCATTCTGCACAACATTTTAGGCGCGATCCAAGTATTACGTAGCGGTTCAGGGAGTGGGGGTGGGTCCGTCTGGCGTTACCAGCCCCTAAGTAATGCATGGATAAAGGTCAGAAAAGGGTGGGGGTGGTCAAAAAGTGAAAAATTTCCGTTACGTACTATCTGAATCGCGCTTCACTGTGCTATTACCGTGCTCTATCAACAACTCCGTCAAGCCTGCGCGATTATCAGTCTACCCAGAGCAGAAGCGTTTAGTCCAAAACTTGACAGCACAGCGTCCCAGAATCTTTCAAGCCAATAAACATCAATACTAAAGCATCAATCAACTTAGAAGAGAACTAGTAGACCCCGCGGAAACTGCGCGGAATAAGTAAACCAGCGATGTATTAATGTGAAATGCAAAAAATTTTACTGTTTTGATGTTCTACGTGTAGCGTACAGTGGATGCCAAAAATAAGTAAAAATCTGCAAGTCGGTCTGTAGCCGCGTTTTATCTACCTACTTTTGTCGTCCATTCTACGGTTCGCTCGCACTTAAATATTAATAAAATTAAATATAGGTTTACAGAGCACTTACTCAAATATGCAAGGGCTACCGCTGTGCTTGTAGATCATTTCGGTTTTACCGACCACAATAATTTTCATTCTGGTCATTTTGTGTAAACATTTTCCCGTTTGCTGCACTGAAGAAGTAACCTTCGAGTTAATTGCAGAGATAACCTTCAAAGACGTGAAAATTTGCTGTTTCTATATAAGCTGTTTTATAAAATGATCCTTTGGATTTTTTCCCATATCAGTGTTCTGCATAATTCATTTAAATTGTTAGTAATCTTGGGCACCATACTTAATAAATACTTAAATCCTCATGCGCTTTCTTATGAACAATGAGCACTTGCCACGTCACACGTTGTTAAGAAGGATTAACAACAATCTCTTGATTCGACATTTTAAACTTTAGCTCACTCCGATTCACTTCATTACACGTTTGCCATTTTACACCATTTTACCGACGTGCTGTTACGCATGGAACAATATCTCGCTTCTCGCTCATACTGCTGTTCCGCGAGCTCCGCTCGCGCCGCAGCTCGGCTTCCACTGCGGCTTCGCATTCTACACCCGGCAATCCCAGTCTGAGCGTCACAAAAATTTGGTAGTAAAAAACGATGCATTCTACCATGGTTCAAACCTAATCCAATGACACCCATACTATTCTGGTACAATATAATGATAAACATTTCACATATAAATAAGAACAGTTTACGGTCCACATACGGTAGGGCCATACGCTGTATGTGCAGTTTCGCTGTTGAAACTCACATACCTAATTATGGCATATCGCTGTTCGCTCACAGAATTGGTCAGTGTCCGTGAAGGCGCTTAAGGTATAACTACTCGATGACTTACTAAACCACTGCAGAGGGCAGCTACTTGAAAACATGCTCTCGAATCTTCCCAGTGTTCCACACTCATAGAATCCTCTCGGCCTTTTTATGTTCAGTTTCATTTTTTTTCTCAAGCTAAATTTTGATGTACCAAATAAATAATAATGTATACAAAAAGATGAAATAATGTACAAAATTATTAGAAATTTAGGGCAACGGAAAATTATCCGTTATGGAACAGAAAGTTGAAAATTCCATCTAGCTGCAGCGTAATTCGGAAAATTGCGTGTTGACTGTTGAGTCAGTGGTGGAGTGGTCGGCTTAGCAGTGATGGATTCTTAGCTTTTCTCATGGACTTTTTATGTTAAAGTTTTTTATAATTCTCTTTTAAACGTAAATTTGACTTTAAAAACTGGTTTGTGATGACAACTCTCTATTCTTATGGCTATCAAACAATATGCAGGTAGTAAAGTTTGGTTCAGTCTGTCTTTCGTCTGGATTTTCGTTAGGCTTATTTTATCAATCTGTAGGATAATGGCTTATTAGCACTGACTAAATAACCTCTGAACAACTATCATAGACCGAATTCCTGTTCCCAAAGACAACACGCAAAAAAACCTTTGGAATTTCGTTTTTCGACCCTTAAACTAAACAGTACGTATTATGCTTTTGGTGGCCGCAACCAAAACAGCTGAAGGGGTACAAGTATCTGCATTACATATTAGTTGAAAACAATTTGCTCCTTTACTGATCAAACCGCTGTTGGCGACAGTTACGTTAAATTCTTTGGCTAGCCCATATTGAACCGTGTCAGGTTCTCCTTTTCCGTTTAAAAATGTTGTTAAAGTGTGTAAATGTGTGTTATCTTGTTCTTAATTTCGTCATTTAATTATAACTGTAAAAAATATCCGATTTATTTTTTTCCGTAATATCTTGAAGGATCCTCGCCAGTATCGAGTCCACTGGGCAGCCCACCGCAAGTTCTTGTTTGAGTGACTGAGAGAAGACGCCGTGCCAAGAACCCCCTACCAGTTATAGTTAGCTCTCTTCGGGGACTTTTGGAGATCAGCTTTCAGCATCTGCTTGAATGAGTATGGAGCCAACAGAATCATCTGCGAGAAAGAAACGGATTAAATCCACATTGTCAGGGGATTATTCGTGCATTTGCAAAGAAGAGAAGAAACACAAGGACAGATTCATGATCGAATGCGGCGGATGTGGAAAGTGGTACCATGGAAATTGCGTAAAAATTATCTTTAGCGAAGTTGTCTTGTTCGAAACGCCTTCTTTTTGATACGGTGAATCCTTGGGTTTTGTAGTTGTGTGAACGTAACAGAAATGCAGGTCGATTCTATCCAGAATTATTATTGTCGCGAATGCTCTAAACAGCATAAACCGTCGATAAGTAAGAGTTATTTTGCATGAAAACTGCTAACATACACAGATACAATAATCACAAGTTTTTTTCGCATTCGTTAAGAACTTTGGTGCATAGAAAATGGTTTGTATATTTTTCCCAAATTCAGGTAACGGATTATTATTAAGAGGCTGTTAGTGGATGTTTGGATTCGTACTGGAGCCGTTGAGGTTTTATAATGTGGTGTGTTGCAGAAAAGCAAATCACCAACATGCACCGGCATAATGCATATGAAGAAGACGCTGCCGGTAAACCAACACAGTCTAGCACACCTCAATTCATGGCGGAATCACGTGAAAAAAAATTTTTACCGTAAGTCTGCATGCTGTGTCTTACTCATTCGCAATTTACATTAAAAAGTTACAGCTTCATAACATAAGTTCTGCTATTTTTACTTGCTAGAATCGACTACGTACTAGAGGTGATGCATGGGTCAGAGTTGATTAAAAAGCATCTGGACACTCATGGATTCGAGCGCTTAATACTTTTTCGTCAAAAAGAAGGTTTAAACATTGTTGTCCCCTAGGCTGATTTTGCGTATAAGGATGTCGTTAAAATCTTAGATATTGACCAGTTATAAATTTTCGTTCCAGCATGTTTTCATATGTGTTATTATTCGTAGGTGAAAAGAGAGAAGTACAATCTGACTAAATGAGGAGGCTACGGTCTATATTAAAAAGCCTGCGAACAGCCTTTTTTGCCCGCTGAGGCTGATTGATCAATGCAGCCTCTCTGCTGTGACTATAAATAGACCGAAGACAGAGGATTTCAGTGCTGCTAAAAAGCGCAAGCTGAATGCTGCCTCGCTGTATCGATCGATCGGCACATGTGCGTGTGAGTGGGTTAATCCGCTCGCATTCACTTACACGCGTATGAGTGTGGCTGTCTGTGCGCGTACTAGCTGTACAAACCGGTTTTCGCTGTCTTCGCTACAACGCATACCCTAAACCCGTAGCTTCCTTTCTTGCTCGCATTGTAGTAGCGATCAATGTCCGTAAGTAACTAGTGCTACAAGTGTATTGTTTGATTGTGCCATTGCTATTAGCAGTTGGGTGTATAAGAACACAACAGGACGACCAAAAGCTGACGTGATGAGAAATTCTCGAGTATATGCAGACTCCGCCGCCTAGGATACCTGTCCTGAATATCATTCGCCTTGAATTTACCGGAACTAGGTAAGTTTTGCTTGTATATCTCTCAGTGTTTGGAAAATGATAATTACTGTTCTAATCTACATTGCATTCTGCATTTATTGCAAACTGAACACAAATGTTGAGCCACCATCAGTGGTGCTCGAGCTCAGCTGGGTAGATCGGTTCTTTCGCCTGACAGAAGTAAGACCGAAAGTGCAAAAATATGTGCTAATGTCAGCCCAGGACAGCTATACGGATTTCCACATTGACTTCAGCGAAACATCTGTGTGGTATCACATTTTTGAAGTAAGCGAACGGTCCATTAATTATCTGCTATTAGGTACATCAGTTTGTCATCTTATAATTGCTACGGTAGTACATTTGCTATGGTAATTGTAATTTGCAATGTAACTGCATTTGTAATTTCGGAAACATAATGCCAATGTTATTTGACCAAAGCCTTTAATGTTGTCACGGGGGAGCAAAGTATTTTATTTAGTTCCACCGACGATTTACAATTTGGAAAAATACAAAGAATGGATAAACTCAGATGAGCAGTATGAAAAATTTTTGGGTGCAGAACGCCATTGCGATAAACTGGAGTTGAATCAAGGCGAAACCATTCTTGCGCCAAGTGGATGGTAAACCTGACTGCAGGGTAAAGCCATGCGCAATTAGTCTTACAACTGTACAATTTGCAAAAACAATTTACATTTATTAATCCTGGTACAGCAGTTTATTATCAATTCTGGTACAGTTGTTAGTGTTGAATAACTCATTAAATTTTTTTTCCTGCTGCAGGATAAATGCTGTTTGTGCGACTGGTTTTTGGTGGAAATTTTTTCCACGATGGCGGAAATTTCTTACACGACAGTAACGGAGTGCAGGCCGTTATTATTCGATCTAGAAAAATCGTCAAATTCCTCCCAAAATCCTTTCGGAAGGTAAGTAAAAAGCAAAGAAGTGAAAGGTCACTTTTTACTTGAAAAGAAAAACAATTACTTAGGTTTGAAGTGAACTAAAGCAGTTTTATTGGAAAGCATGCGTATGTTGTCTATGCAAAAGTGATTTTTAAGGTATCCTATGCGCAGGGTGAGGATTACAACAAAGGAAGGATTACCACAAATGTAGCCATTGCAGCCTTTCCAACGGCTAACGCCCGCCTTGTCCTGTTGGACTTGATGGAGAAGCCCGGAGAACATCTCATGTAATACGATACCGACTCCGTCGTATTTATTCAGCGCCCTGGGGACTGGCTGCCAGAAACAGAAGCATTCTGGGTGATTTAACAATCAGCTGCAGGCGATAGAAAGCCACATTGAGAAATTCGTGTCGTGCGGACCTAAAGTGTACAGTTATGAGACTGACACCGGACGCAGCGAATTAAAGGTTTGTCAATAAAGATGTATGTCATTTTTACGTGTATTCACTTTTTATGATACAGATGTATTTTCATTTAATACAGATTTATTTAAATTTATATTTATTTTTACCAAAATAACCCTTTTCAGTCAAAAAATTCGCCCAAAAGGGCTACACTGAGGATATCCTGGATTTCAATGGGGTGAAGAAATCCTTTGTTCCAAGTGGTCGCTCGTTAATTTTTGACACACCGAAGCGCCTGGATGGAACGGGAAAACATGTGTGTTTTACATTTTTTAGGTTTTTTTCCTTACATCGTTCCATGAATGCCATCTCACAAAGTTGTTCATGGTAAGTTTTTTTATTTATCACTATCTTTATCAAATTAACTTCATTTTAGAAAGTGTTTTTTTGGCATCAGCAACATTATTTTATGTTATTTTAAAACATTTTAAATCCAGTGAAGCTGGTTTATCTGTTTAAAATCTAAGGTGTTTTTAGGTGACGTGGAATTTATGGCCAGCGAGTGGTGGACTTCCCCGACTGACGTGCGGGTGGGCAGGAGCACCGCTATCAAAGAAAGCGCGGAAGCCCTTCGATTGCAGTTAAAAACCCACGTTGGACATCCGGAGGCCGCCCGTTTAGATTACCGATTACTACCATCACAGCCATTCGGGTAAGAAATGGTAATAAACAGGATTTGCACGTACGACCACATCGTTAATTCTTAGAGATATGCGGGGCTGCTCTCCATTGGTTTTGCGGAGCGCATCGACAAACCGGGTGAATCGGATAGCGAATCGGATGTTTCCGATTTGTTATCCGAATTAGATGGCACCGACGACTTGGTGTCTGACCTTTCTGACGACACCGATCGTGAGGAGGACACCACCGGGAAGAAGGAATATAGTAGCATTATCCGGCATGAGTCGCACGAGAAGCGACCGCGGGAGGGCGATGACGATTCCGACCAACAACGCTACAAGCGACGCGAGCTCTATAAACAACGGCCTTGTATCTTATGTGAACACTGCTTGTATTATGTGAAGTGTGTGTGTTGTGCGTGTGTTCCGCAGATTGTGTGAATTAAGTAAATAAAAAATTGAAAACTTCTTAATTGAATTATTTAAATACTCGTAGCCGATTGCAGACACACATGTATACACATGCACTATGTAGCTAACTACAATAGGTTGTCGTTCTAATTATTAGCGGCAGGGAGACTTTCACTAGACAGTCAGAGCAAAGCAGACAGTAGGTCACCAGGCCGGCGCCGGGCGTCGGGACACCGCTAGCCAGCAGCAGCCAGATCAGCGCTACGGTCTCGGACTCAGTTCCAGAGAGGGGGCGAGAGGGAGGGAATCAGCCAATCAGGTTGTCAGCCAGATCAGCACTGAAACGTGCGCCAAAAGCAGCTACTTCAGCGATTACACTACTTAAATTATTGACCATTGCATCTTTAACTTCATTAGACAGTTCACCCAGAACAAGTTTGTCTATGGATATAAACGAGAAACCTTCCTTACGTAAGATTTCTTTTTCCGCATCATAACACACATTACCATCAGCGTCGTTCAAGTTGGCACAGTGTTCCACACCGTCACTTTGCGCCTCGTATTCCTCAGGGTTGCACTTTCCTGATGGCTGGTTACCCATTGCACCCTGCGGGTGTTCCAAGTCACTCTTGCTTTCACCGCCACACTTGCCGTACGTTACTTGGACGTCAACCGGCAAAAGAGCCAATGGAGCAGTGCGGTCCGGTGTCATTGGTGCCAGTTCGTACTCAAAACATGGAGGCTACGCGTTAGTGGAAACTCGGAGCAGCATGTCGGTAATTAAATTAAGTTTCATTCGTGGCCTGGGAGTGGACGTCAGATCGGAAGTCGTTGAGGTCACGATGACGGATGGTATGACGATGCGTGCAGTTGGCCATGTATATTTGTAAGTGGAGCTGTGTGGCGTGAAAGGTCAGATGCTGTATGATGTTTCTGAGTCTAACAGCAATCGCTATGATTGCATAATTAAACGTAATGTATCGATGATACCGGGAATCCTAGTGGATGTGGGAGAGGCTCGCATCGTGGGACCAAATAAGTACATAATGGCATTGGATCTGACTGACAAACAGCGATTGGAATCAAGCCAGTCGGCAGACACGGAGGTGCGAGCGAAGCAAATGAAGGTGTCCAACGGTGCTAAAAACGAGGTTGGATTAGCCTGTGGAAGTGCAATGGTAACCGTACCAGCGAGCGGATGCGACATGAGCGACACAGTAACTGCAGCTGAGGAAGACAAGAACGTTTCTTCGGGTAACAGTGGAGGCCGACAATGATGAACGGGGGACAACGAAGCCGGTGAAGTTTTACATCGGCAGCGGCGATGATGAAGATAGTAATGGCGATGGTGAGCACGTCGGCCCGCCTGCTGCCGCTGCCACTACCGGTGACCTCTGCGCATTGGTCAACGCTGCGCTCCCATCAGGTTACTTCGTCTGTCCCGTCTGGATGCTCATGCGCGCTACCGCATGCCTCTAAGCGCTCAGCGCTTTTATGATGCAGCTGTTTTGCCGGCGAATGTCTAGGCCGATCTGGATGCAATGGCGCTTCAGTGCCCAACCGCCTGCACACCTGCCGCCGAACCTCTTCGCAACTGCACGACTTGCTCGAAACTCTGATGACGAGCCGCTCCGCGGTGACCAGCGGAACCGGTCACGGTTGGGCGCAGACCTCCCGCCGCAGCCTCAATCAGTTCGTCATCTGCAACAGCAACAAAACGCTGGTTAACACTGTGAACAGCATCACCAGCATCCACTTCGGTGGTTTTTAAGTCTCCATTCCTCGCGCCACGGCGATCCGACACATCCACCATAGTGTTGAACGTCGTCCGGTTATACGAATCATCCCGCTTCGGCAACGCGTTCGATCCATACACTGCTGCACCTTGAGCTTCCTTCTCACCGCCGCCACGCATAATCATGGAATTAGCGTGCGCGCTGCTCGTATGCACTGTATCTTTACTCACTGTACACGTATTAAATGGTCCGGACTATGACAGTTGGAACACCTCCTACCGCTACTTTTCGATCCGCTCCCGATTCCATCGCTCCGGTTGCCGCCGCCATGTCCAGCGCCTACAGAACTCCTGCTACCTGAGCCTTCTTGCTCAGCAGCTGTCCTCGTCGCTGCTGCTTTGCTCGGCGCCACCGGGCTGCTGTGGTTACGATCCCCTCCATTTGTTGAACTTTTTCCCATGCTTCTCCTGCGAATTGCCCGAACCGGTCGCCGCTGCATCATATCCGCCTTGCTCGCCTTGAACACCATGTCCTCCTTTGCAAGCGGTTTTTTCTCCAGACGGATGGCCTCACCCACACGATGAAGATCAGACAGGCAGTCAACCGGCGTCGTTGCACAGTGCTGCACGTGACAGTGCTGCTCGTGACACGTATTCCGCCACTAAACCAATACCCAGTTTACTTATGACAGTTTTATCATCCATATCACGGTCATAACGGTAACATAAATCAACCAGCTCGTTATAAAAATCCTCCAGCGGTTGATCACGATGTTGCTTTTAATTGCTGGTTTGGATTTTTACGTAGTTCTTGAAATCCGCTGTTCGAAACCGCGCTGTCAGATTCTGCTAAAAATCTTTCCATGTGGCGTATGGCTTTACGGTACCTTCTTTGGTAATGCGATCCCACCAGATCGCTGCCGATGATGCCAACAACACTGATGCCAGCGCGATCGTCCGCTTGTTGTCTCAATCCTGTGCTAACGCTGCAGTCTCAAAACGGCGGCACCAAGCGACCACATCCTCCGTTGCTATCCAGAAAACTTCAACAGGTATTGTAACATACCGCCTTGAAGATGGTCCAGCTCCGCCGCCTCTTCTGGCGAATTCAACACTTGATTCGGCATCGTCGCTGACGGTGTAGCCACTAATGACGTAGCCTCCGTTGACTGATCCGACATCCAAGGCTGTTGAATTGCTGCTTAATGCACGATAACGCACTTACAGTATGGGACAACGGCAAAGATAAACCGGAAATTCACAGATAAGTCCACAAATCCGTTCGAATCAAAATGCACAATGCACGATGTGCACTCACAAAAACTGCCAGAACACAAACCGGATATTCACCGTAGAATTTACTCGTCGTCCTGACACACACTGTTCAGCTAAAAGGTTATTGGATAAATCCAAACTCCTACGCCCTTTAAGACGGTTTCTACACCGTATGATAGACCAGTAATCGTACACTGCGCAATAACTGGCTGTTAACG